AATGGACTGGTTTTGGCTATTTTGAATCAGACAACCACATGCTGGGAATGACAGTTTAAAGGAATGGCATGGTATTCGTTGTCACAAAGAGCATTTCAAGATCTGTCCTAAAGTACAATGCTGTCGGTGATAGGATAATATCCATATGTCTACAAGGAAGACCGGTTAATACTAGTATTATTCATATTTGGCACCAAGTACCAAAGTCAAAGATGAAGAAATTGGAGATTTCTACCAACTTCTGCAGTCTGAAATTGACCGAACAAGCAATCAAAATGTGTTTTTTATCACTGGTAATTGGAATGCAAAAGTTGAAAACAAAGAAGTAGTTGGAAAATATGGCCTTAGAGATAGAAATAATGCTGGAGATTGCATGATAGAATTTTGCAGGACCAATGACTTATTCATTGCAAATACCTTTTTCAACAATGTAAGCGAAAATTATACACTTGGATTTCACCAGATGGAATACACAGGAATCAGATTGACTATATCTGTGGCAAGAGGCAATGGAGAAGTTCAATATCTTCAGCCAATACAAGGCCAGGAGCTGATTGTGTAACAGACCATAATCTGCTTATATGTAAGTTCAACTTGAAGTTGAAGACAATTAAAACAAGTCCACGAGAGCCAAAATATGATCTTGAATACATCCCTCTTGAATTTAGAGACCACCTAAAGAATAGATTTCATGCATTGACCATCAGTGACCAAAAACCAGAGGAAGTGTGGGATGACATCAAGAACATCATGCATGAGGAAAGCGAGAGGTCATTAAAAAGACAAGAAAGGAAGACCAAAATGGTTGTCAGAAAAGACTCTGAAACTTGCCCTTGAGCAAAGAGTAGCTACAGAAAATGGAAGAAATGACAAGATAAAAGAGCTGAACAGAAGATTTCAAAGATCAGCTTGAGTAGACAAAGCCAATTACTATAATGAAATGTGCAAAGACCTGGAGTTAGAAAACCAAAAGGGAAGAACATGCTCGACATTTCTCAAGCTGAAAGAACTGAGGAAAAAATTAAAGCCTCGAGTTGCAGTATTGAAAGATTCTATGGGCAAAATATTGAATGATGCAGGAAACATCAAAAGAATATAGAAGGAATACATAGAGTCACTGTACCAAAAAGAATTGGTTGCTGTTCAGCCATTTCAGGAGGTGACATATGATTAAGAATCAAAGGTATTGAAGGAAGAAGTTTAAGCTGCACTGAAGGAATTGGTGAAGAACAAGGCTCCAGGAATTGACAGAATACCCATTGAGATGTTTCAACAAACAGATGCCCCATTGTAGGCACTCACTTGGTTATACCAAGAGGTTTGGAACACAGCTACCCAGCCAACTGACTTTAAGAGATCCATATATGTACCCATTCCAAAGAAAGGTGATCCCACAGAATGTGGAAATTATCACACAATATCATTAATATCACATACAAGTAAAATCTTACTGAGGATAATTCAAAAAATGGTTGCAGCAGTATATTGACAAAGATCTTCCAGAAATGCAAGCTGGATTCAGAAGAGAACGTGGAACAAGGGATATCATTGCTGTTGGCAGATGGATCTTGGCTGAAAGCAAAGAATTCCAGAAAGGTGTTCACTTTTGTTTTATTGACTATGCAAAAGCATTCAATTGTGTGGATCATAACAAATTACGGATAACATTGAGAAGAATGGGAATTCCAGAACACTTCATTATACTCATGAGGAAACTGTACATGTCGTTCAAACAGAACAAGGGGATACTGCATGGTTCAAAATGAAGAAGGGAGTACATCAAGGTTGTATCCTTTCACCATACTTATCCAACTTGTATACTGAGGAAATAATCTGAGAAGCTGGACTATATGAAGAAGCATGTGGCATCAGGATTGGAGAAAAACTCATTAACCACTTGTGATGTGCAGATGACACAACTTTGCTTGCTATGAGGATGACTTGAAGCACTTAAAGATGAAGATTAAAGACTACAGTCTACAGTATGGATTACACCTCAATATAAACAAAACAAAAATCCTCACAACTGGTCCAATAAACAGCTTCATGGTGGATAGAGAAAGGATTGAAGTTGTCAAGGATTTCATATTACTTGGTTGTACAATCAACACCAATGGAAACAGCAGTCAAGACATCAAACAACTTATTGCATTGGGCAAGTCTGTAAAAGACCTTGCTCTGATTACCTAGTACTGCTCTAACAAAAATATGCCACAAATGGGATGGCTTGAAGAAACAGGAGTTTATTCTCTTCACAGTTTGGAGAATTTAAGTCTGAGTTCTAAGTGCCAGGCTCTAGGGACTGGGTGAAGCCCCTCAACCTTGGGCTTCAGCTCTGACTCTTGTTCCCGGCCCACTGAAGCCAGAGGCTTTTCTTCACTCAGCTGCTGGCCACTGAGGCTGACAAGTCCAAGGTTGACAAGTAAAAAAGGCACAGTCCTTGTGTTATCAAACCACATAGCAGGCCGTAAATTCAAATCCATTGAAAGTCCCAAGATTGGCAGAGCATGGCAGGCTGCTGAACAATGACATGGCTACATCCGGGGTTCAAATGTACCATAAGCTAGTTCATTGGTTCAAGTGGACCATTGTCCAAGGCTTCTCCTTATGTACAGGAAGAAGGCCACATACCTAAAGCAGCTACTCAGCTGCTCACAGTAGATTTCACCATGGAGTTGATCTCCAGTTTCATCATGGGGAATATTACATCCAGCTGCCCAGCCACTCAACCAGGCCCAGCCAAGTTGACACACAAGCTTAACTACCACAGATCTCTTTCAGGTTCAAGTGCTGAAGAGCAAAGATATCTCCTTGAAGACTAAGGTGTGCCTAACCCAAGCCATGGTATTTTTAATTGCTTCTTATGCATGTGAGAGCTGGACAATGAATAAGGAAGACTGAAAAAAAGTTGATGCTTTTGAGTTATCATGTTGGAGAAGAATGCTAAGAGTACTGTGGTCTGCTAAAAGGACTAACAAATCTGTCCTGGAAGAAGTGCAGCTGGAATGCTCCTTGGAAGCGAGAATGGCCAGACTTCGTCTCACCTACTTTGGTCATGTTGTCAGAAGGAACCATTCCCGAAAGAAGGATATCATGCTTGGTAAAGTGGAGGGTCAATGAAGAAGAGGAAGGCCCTCAATGAGATGGAGAGACACAATGGCTACAATGGTGGGCTCAGGTATAGCGAGGATTGTAAGGCTGGTACAAGACAGTGTTTCATTCTGCTGTGCATAGGGTCACTTTGAGTTGGAGATGACTTGACAGCACTTAACAACAACAGAAATCATTAGATGAGCATAAGAATTTAATTTTTAAATGGTCCCAGCCATCTAGTTTATCTTCTATTTGTACAGTTTGGCTTATGCTTGATAGTCTATTTGTGCCATAAATTAGGGACCCTAAACTTGCACCTGTTTTGTCTTTGATGAACTTTATAGTTTTGGGTCTTCCATTTAGGTCTTTGATCCATTTTGAGTTCATTTTTTGTATGGTGTGAGGTATAGATCTTGTTTCATATTTCTGCAAATGGATATCCAGTTTTGCCATCACCATTTGTTCAAGAGGCTTTCTCTCCCCCATTTATTGGTTTTTAGCCCTTTGTCAAAGATCAGCTGTCTATAGGTTGTTGTTGTTATGTGCCATCGAGTCGGACCCGACTCATAGCGACCCCTCCTTGGATTTCTGAGGCAGTATCACTATGGAAGTAGATTGCCCCATCTCCCTTCTGAGGAGTGGCTGGTGGGTTTGAACCACCAGCCTCCTGGTTAGCAGTCAAATGCCTTAGATTCTCAGTTCTATTCCACTGGTCTGTGCATCTACAGATTTTGTCTACCTTGCCTGATAAAAAGATTCCCACCCTACTTATCTGTTGGTTATTATTTGCATGGAAAAATTTTTCCTATTCTTTCACTTTCAACATTTTGGTGTCTTTGGGTTTAAGGTATAGCTCTTGCAAACAGCATATAGTTGGATTATGTTTTTTAATCCATTTTGTCACTCTTAGATTTGGGATTGACATATTTATACCATTCACATTCACTGTACTTCCAGATAAGAAATTACTTACTTTTGCCATTTTATTATTTTTTTTAGTGTCTTAAACCTTCTTTGTCTTTGTTTTTATACTGCTTGCTTTTGTGTTTTGTTGGTTTATTATAGTAAGCCTTTTTGGTTCTCTTCTCCTTTCTTTTTTTATGTGTTTTTTATATTTTTTCTTATTTTTTGTTTTTTATTTATCCTTGCCTTTACTATTAGGACTTTTAAGTAGATGTGAAAACTCAGGTATTTATACAAATTGGAAAGGTGCTTTTACATTGGAGAGAGTCACGTCCATAACTCAAAGGAGTGTTATTCTTTATAGTAATGTATAATAGTTTAATTCTCTGTATTGTTCCAGCTGGTGCTAATAGAATGATCATGTAGTCTGTCTGGCAAGTCTGAGTATTACATTTAACAGGTTGTATTCATAACATTTTAGGTCTCTTGGTACTAACTTACTCAGTAACGTACAAGAAATTTTTTATCTATACTGTTTCTCTTCTCCTTTTGTCATTATCACTACTTAGATGTTCATATTTCATTTACCCTATAACATAATTTTATCCTTGCCTTTATTATTAGGACTTTTAAGTAGATGTGAAAACTCAGGTATTTATACAAATTGAAAAGGTGCTTTTACATTGGAGAGAGTCACATCTATAATTCAAAATAGTGTTATTCTTTATAGTAATGTGTAATAATTTAATTCACTGTATTGTTCCAGCTGGCGCTAACAGAATGATCATGTAGTCTGTTTGGCAAGTCTGAAAAATCTATCATTTAGTTTCTGTTTAATCTGGTGGGGAAAAAAAAAAACTTGCAAGTTTACAGTTTAATCAGGTTTCTCTGCAGTTAACTGATGATAAATTACAAAGTATTATAAAGTGTTAAGCAATTAGTACTTCATCAGCAAGTTATATGACTTGCTGCCTTAACTTCTCAACTGCTTCTATCTGGCATAGGCTCTGGATCCAACAGAACTGAAGAATGAAGGCCTCGTCCTTTCCCTGGAAGAACAGCTTGGTGCATTGACCCTGTCTGAACTCCACAGCTCAGAGCCTTCTTCCATGGTTTGCCTTAATGGCATATCATTCAATGTGGAGCTTTTCAAAGACACAAGAGAGAGCACTAAGGTATTTTTGTCACATGGTACAGTGGCTGAGGCATTCGGCTATTAACCGAAAGTTCGGTGGTTCTAGCTCACTAGCCGCTCTGCGGGAAAAAGACAAGGTGGTCTGCTTCTGTAAAGATTTACAGCCTTGGAAACCCTCATGGTTGCTATGAATCAGAATCAACTTGATGGCAGTGGGTTTTAGTCTAGTAGACACTTCAGTTTCTCATACATGTTCCTGTGTTGTGAGAGAGCCTCATGTTTCCAACCTGATATGGTCGTTTGATGGCAGAGCGAGAACTATTAGATGTTAGCTGGCCAGATTCTCCCTCCATTATTAAAGGCTCATTTTATTTCACAAATAAACCAAAGCCTTATGATAAAGTAGGCTTTCAGAGACTGAATTGGTATAGCTCCAGCAGCAAGGCAGGTTTTCTGGCATGGATTACCGAGAAAAGAGCATACCAGCTTTATGCTAAGGACAAGGACTTAGCCAGTGAGCAATTTGTTTAGGGAAAGCAGGCTAGATACTGTGTCATACATCTAAGTGAGGGTTTTTGGTAAATACTCAGCTTGTTTAGAAGCTTTAACAAGTGTTCCTCCGTCTGAAAGGTCCCCTTCTACAACATTTGGAGCAAACCTTAAAGTGGGCAGAGCTCTTTTACTTTCTCCTGTAAATGTTAGGATAGGATCTTTTCTGTTCTAGAAACATGCTAATTTCTAGGGGTATAGTCATCACCCAGATGTATGCCGTTTCTGCCACCTTGAAGCATCTCAAGTAGTGAAAGCAAGAGGTGTTTCATAAGCAGTCAGTGTACAATATGATAAAGACCATGACGGTATAAACAAAAGGTTCTATAGTAGTACGTCAGCAGTGGACACTCCTGCCTGACCCATACTTTGGATGTTGGGGAGGACCTCCAAGAAGTGGCATTAAGTTGTCACATAATGGTGTTCTAGGCAGAGGGAACAGCATGGACAAAGATGAGATAAAACATGGCTTATTAGAGAAAGACTTGATATGATTAGAGCATCTAGTTTGAGAGGCCTACTGAGAGATGAGTACACAGAAGTAAGCAGAGGCCAGAGCAGCAAGAACCTGGTAAGTCATTTCAGGGAGTTTGGACTTTATCTTCAGTGAGAAGCCACTTCAGCCAGGGGAATAAAAGGGCAAATGTGCATTTTAGAAATAGCCCTCTAGCTGCAGAGAGAATGGAGTAGAGACCTAGCCCTCTGGCTGCAGTGATTCCAGTTAGAGAAGATGGGAAAGAATGAATTTGCTTAAGCCTACATATGCTAATGTAACATCTTTCCAGATATCATCTCTGTTGGCAGAACTGGAGGCAATCCGAAGTAATTCAGTGTCTCAGAAAAGGTAAATGTGTTATTTCATTTTCCAAATATTGGTTGTAATTAAGTAAGAAAGTTTGATGCTGCTTGTTAGGAATTTAATTGTGTCTCTCAAAATGAAACGCAAACTCGGTACCTATGGTTATACTCGGTACCTATGGTTATAATCTTATCTGGGAATGGGTTGTTTTTATTATGTTAATGAGGCTGGATTAGTATAGGGTGTGTCTTGTGTCTTGAGTCAATCTCTTTTGAGATGTAAAAGAGATTAAACTAGCAAGTCAGCAAACAGGGATGACCCACATGGAGATCTCCAGGAAACAAGCTAAAGAGACAAGGACTTTCTTCCAGAGCCAAAAGAGAAAGCTACCCCATAGAACCATCACCCTGAATTTGGACTTCGATCCTCCTAGACTGAGAAAATAAATTTATGTTTGTTAAAGCCATCCATTTGTGGTATTTCTGTTAAAGCTGCTCTGGATAACTAAGACCGTGCTGATAGTTGTAAATCTCAGCTGTTTATATCAAGGACCTTGAGTCATGCTTCACAAAATGCACTAAGGTTATAGCACAAATTCCCTACGGTTTCTAATTAAAATATTTGTGGCACAGATTAGAAGGAAATCTCTAGAAGTTCGGGGTAAGCTAAGCATCTGAAGAAAGTTTTGAAAGTAGAGATACATATAAAGAAAAGCAAGAAATGACTTACTAAAGGAAGATCAGATGGGGGCTTCAGAAGTGCTGGTAATGATGGCAGTTTGGGTGCATGGATACGAGGAAGTTTGCTCTGTTATTTGTTGTACACTTTACGTCTGTTATACATCTTTTTTTGGATGTATGAAATATTTAAGTAAAACAAAGCAAAATTTAAAACACGGTAGGGGATGAGGGTAAGTAGAGAAGCCTGGTAGCTTGGTATTCTGTCTGCAGAAGGAAGGTGGCCTGTATCGTTTTCTGCATGGCCACAAATCTCTGGGTGAGCACAAGATCCCTAAGTAATAGAAGGCCGAAGTCATTAGTTTGGCCTGCACAATATTCTCACTTGACTTAAGGTAAAAGAAAGAAAAAGCTGTAGATTGGATCTAGACATAACTCTATGCATTATTAACTCATAATATGACTTAAGTATATAGTGTTTTCCTTTAGGTAGTGAAGGCTTTTCCTCTGTTACATTTGATGACTGAAAATCTTAAGAGTAACAGGAGCATTAAAGCCCTGCAGATGTGTTAGTTTAATTTGTTAATTGGTTAGTTTAGTTTGGCAGGTGTGATTTTTTTTTTTCCTCTTCCTTCCAGTGTCATTGTTTCTCAGTGGGCCAGCATGCTGAAAGTTGTAGCATTACACCTTAAAAGGCACAGACTGACTTATGCCACCATTGATGGTTCTGTCAACCCCAAACAGAGGATGGACTTGGTTGAGGCATTCAACAGTAATGCCCAGGATCCTCAGGTATGAGCTGGTCACATCAGAGCTGTATGATTAAGGGCAAATTGTTCTCAATTCTTTGGATAGAGAGAGTCACAATATAGCAGCTCAACTGAAAACTATTTACAGCTTTGATAATTTATTGAGACACATGTCAATGTATACAAATAATCTAAAGAGAATACAATAGAAGAACTGAGAGAATGAGATCAAAACTCGTTAGGATCAAGAGAATCTTTGTGGAGGAGGCAACATTTGAGATGGGCCTTGAAGGATAAGTGGACTTTTGATAAGAGGAACTATGGAGGGAAATGGAAGAACAAAGGCATATAATAGTAGATAATAAGAATTTGGAAAGCATTAAGTGATAGGAAAATCATTATAGCAATAGGGAAAGGGAGGACTGATGGAATAGACATAATCTTGTTAATAGTTTATCAAGCTAACTAGTTCAGTGGTTAAATTGTATTATTTGTATATTTTGGCAGGTGCACAATTAGATTTTTGAGGTTGACTCACAAAAAAGTAAAGTGTAAATTTTCTCAAAGGTGACCCATGACAGATGGCATATCAAAAAACTGTGTTACAATGACAGCAGAAGGAAGTTTAATAGGAATTCATTGCTTTATTTGTATTGATCTTGGCCTTGAACCTGAGACAGAAGAAGAGATGTTTTATGAGATCAAGTTTATAAAGTTAATGGTATACTTCTTTTGAAGGTTATGCTAATCTCTCTCTTGGCTGGAGGTGTCGGTCTAAACTTGACTGGAGGAAACCATCTTTTTCTTCTTGACATGCACTGGTAACTATTCTGGACTTCCCTTGAGTTATCATGACATAGGAGGGAAAGTGGGGCCCAGAGGAGTATAGGGATGTACTTATGTTGAGTGTGCTGTTTTTACATTGTAGAGATGCCTCTGTGCATATATGTATACAGCTACAGAGCTAACCAGGGTGCTGAGCTAGCTGACTTCCCTGAATTCCTAAGCAAGCAAGACTTCAAATGACTACTTATAGTAGTCCACTCATGTTATTGTTAATCTCACATCTGTTTCCGTGGAAACTGGAAGCAGAGCTTTTCCTTGTGAAGAACTAAACATCTCAGTTTTACCTCTTCTCCAGAATGCTACATTCCAGATGTATTTGTTGAGATTCAAGAAAATGTCAACCTTGGAGAACAAGGGGAAACCTTACTCTTAAAGAGAAAGGCTAATCATTTTTCTAATTATGTCAGAATTAAACTTAACATAGAGCTCTTGTACTCACCATATGTGGTGTCAACCCCAGGATCATAACAGCATCCTTCCTGGATGTGAGAAGGAGTGAGTGTGTTGCTAGGAGGAAATCTCATTAATCCTGGTTTTTTGGTTTTCTGATCATGCCAATCAAGGATGGCACTGTCATCTGTCTAAGTTTCAGGTAGCCCATTTGATTGGCTCAAATGGGCCAACCTGTCATTATCTTCTGAGAGAATGTGTTTAGGTCTTACAGTTCTTGGAACTGCCATGTACATGTGAGTGAGGAAAACACGCTGGGAATGTATGGTAAGAAGTATGCTATTTTCTGAAATGCAAAAACATTACCCAGGATTTTAAAGAGGTAAAATGAGAAACTAGTTTGGAGTTGTTGTTAATGAAAATTATGAAGAAGGAAACAAATTGAGTCTACTTAGTTGAATTACAGAATATTATTAAAGTTGAAACATGTATTTGAGATCCTTTAGCCAGCCTTACTATTTTCCAAGTAAGAATCTGAAGCCTAAAGGGTTGAGGTTAGATAACTTACCCAAGTTGGTTAGTGAATGGATCGAAGCATAGGTGTCACATACAGCAAATGATGATTGAGCTAAGAGTTATTACCATTAGCAATCTGAACCTAGTTCCTCATTAGAGGTCATGAAGGTACCTTTCTTAGGCCAATATAACCTAGGACAATGATTGTTAAACTTCTGTAAATATTTTAGGCTATATGGTAAATCTTTTAGACTTTGGAGGCTAGATCTCTGTCACATAGTCTTTGTTTTTATGTGTTTTTCTTTTCCAAAAAAACCAAACTCACTGCCGTGAATTCAGATCCAACTCCTAGCAACCTCTCCTTGGGTTTCTGAGGTGATATCACTACCGAAGTAGATTTCCCAGTTTTCCTTCTAAGGAGTGGCTGGTGGGTTTGAACCGACAGCCTTCTGTTTAGCAGTCAGATGCCTTAGGCACTATGCCACCAGAGCTCTGTTTTTCTTTTACCACCCCTTAAAAATGTAATGACCATTTTTAGCTCACAAATCATACACAGTCAGGATACAAGCTATATTTGGCATGTGGACCATACTTTGCTGACCCCCTTGTCTAGGATACCAGTACCTTTGAGCTTTACTCTCTTCTAATAGGAATCCATCACTTGAAGATCAAGCATGTGACCGAATTTACCGAGTAGGACAGCAGAAAAATGTTGTAATTCACAAGTAAGTAAAGGTCTCCCGGGACCATTCCCAACTTTTGCTTTCATAGAAGTCTTTCTTCAGTACTGTTTTTTTCTTTTTTCTTTAAGTAGTGTTTTAATTACAGTGTAAAGTGTTTGTTGATTGCATTCCTAATGATGTGCCTGAGGTATACTCTCCTTGGTCACAGATGAAAATGAAAGCAATTTAGGGATGGGGAGGGGTTAGGAGGGTAACCTTGGAATCAATCCCTTCAAATGAAGAATAAGGTTGTGTATAATACTGAGCTGTATCTTAGTCAAAGTAGCTTGAAATATAAACCATTCTGCAAAGTACATTGAAAGAAGATGATTTCTTAGAAAACTGCAGAAATATTAAAATCGGGATGCTAATATAGGTATAATACTTTCATCTGATCTATAGACCTTATTCATATTTTGCCAGTTGTCCCATTGATGTCCTTTGTAGCAAAAAAAAATTCCAGATCCTTTGTAGTGTTCTGTTGTCATGACTCTAACTTTGTAGTGTTCTGTTGTCATGACTCCTTAATCTCCTCTAAGCTAGGCCAGTACCTCTGTTTCTCTTTTTATGACATTGATATTTCTGAAGCGCACAGGCTGGTTATTCTGTAGAATGTCATTATTTAGGACTCTTGCCTCTTCAAAAACAATAAAACCTGCCATAATGCTATATAATTCATTCTAGCTATGGCCCTATTTTTTGTCCTTCCACTTCATGGTGACATTTCCTGAAGAAATCACTGTCTGTCTTTACTTGCTTGCCTTCCATTGTTTCCTCAACTTCTGCAAACTGGCTTTTACCCCTTGTTGTTGTTGTTTGCCATCGAGTCGGACCCGACTCATAGCGACCCCTCCTTGGGTTTCTGAGGCGATATCACTACGGAAGTAGATTGCCCAACCTTCCTTCTGAGGAGTGGCTGGTGGGTTTGAACCACCAGCCTTCTGGTGAGCAGTCAAGTGCCTTAGGCACTATGCTACCAGAGCTCCCGGCTTTTACCCCTATTGCCCTCCAACAAAGCTTTTGTTAAGGAATACTAAAAACTTCCAAAATTTGCCTAGTACAGTGATTATGTGAGTTTCCTTGTCTTTAGCCCTCTTCTCAGGTTACTCTCTATACTCCCTTTAATAATCCTATTCACTCCAATAAGTCCAAAATCTGTATCTCATTTCAAGGTTTCCTAAACTTCAGATCAAGATCTCCATATCCCTGCTAGATAACCAAATCTCATTCAACTCATTCAGCAAATACCTATCGAGCACCCACTGTATAAAACCAAACCAAAACCAAACTCACTGTCATCAAGTTGGATCTGAGTCATAGCGACCCCTCCTTGGGTTTCCAAGGCAGCATCACTACGGAAGTAGTTTGCCCAACCTTCCTTCTTAGGAGTGGCTGGTGGGTTTGAACGACCAGCTTTCTGGTTAGCAGTCAAATTCCTTAGGCACTATGCCACCAGAGCTCTCCCACTATATAGCAAGTCCTATTCTGTGCTCCAGGAACTCAGAATGTCACAGAATGTTTCTTTCATCACCTCAAATCTGCTTATTCTCTTTATTCTTTGTGTTTATGATTAGTATCGCTGTCCATCTAATCACATAGCCAGAAACTAGACTCCTCTCTCCTTCTCTCTTTCCACATACCAAGACCTTAGTTTTATTTTCTAAATGTCTCTTATAACTATTGCCACTTCCTTCTTTCAAGTACTTGTCATTTCACATCTTGCCTCTTTAGATAACTTTATCTTCACTGACTCCTGTCCTTCTCTGCATTACCACCAGAGGGCTCTTTTAACTAATAATCTATCATTCCATTCCCCAAATTTCTCTGTAGGTCTCACTTCCTATAGGATAAAATCTAATTTCTTAGCATGATGTGTGAAGCCATTCATGATCTGGCTCCTGCCAGCCTCTTGAGCTTATCCCAGTGTAGAACAACATGATTGAGTCCTTGTGACTTTTGTCCTGATTGTACTAGACAGCTGATCTTCCTCCAACATAGCATGCTGTATAACTCATCCATGGTTTTACCCATGTTGTTCCCATTCCCTGGAATGCCCTTCCTACTGTTACATCTTATAAACCCTTGCTTGTCCTGCAAGACCATCCTTTGAGAGTTACTTGTTAACTCTTCAATGGATCCTTCCCTGACAACTCTAGACAGGTATCTCTATTTCTCTCTCTCTGTCTCTTTTAAGTATAAGGGATCATGGATCTGATTTTATTTTAGGTTCTTTATCAAAAAAAGAAGGAAGAACACCTGCAAAGAGACTAAACAGGCCCCATAAAACAGAAAGTAGACATACTGGAACGTCAAAATAGACATCACACATATATATCCCAATAAAAAATTCCCAGTATTTCTACCATATGCAGAACTTGAGGCACTGTAGGAATAAATTATATACCTGCCTCACAAAGGTTTACATTGCAGCTAGCTATATCTATGGAACTCATATGAGAGAAGAATGCATTTAGCTAAAAGTGGTAGAATTAATGATTAATGGGACCTTAAATAGATAGGGTGCATTTTTCTTTCCTGACAAATATTCTGAAATCTGAAACAGACAGATTTCTTTTTACCTCTATTGCACGTTGAATATACTTCTATTATAGCACGTACCAGGTTGTACTATTAGTGTTTTTTATCTCCATGTCTGTCTCTCCTGTTCTCTCTTTGAGAGCAAGGTTATATTCCTCTCTCCATTCTTCACACTAGCATAGTATATGCCAAACTCACTACCATCAAGTCAATTTCAACTCATAGCAACCCCCATTGGGTTTCTAAGGCTGTAAATCTTTATGGAAGTAGATTACCCCCATCTTCCTTCCATGGAGTGGCTAGTGGGTTTAGACTGCTGACCTTCTGGTTAGCAGCCAAATCCCTTATCCACTACACCACCAGAGTGTGTTGAATGAGCATAAATGGCAACTGTGGTATTTTCTTAGTTTGAAAAACCTGTTTTCAATGTGAATTAGCCAAGAAATAGGATATGCTATGCCTCAACCAGGACATTAAGTCCTAGCAGAGAGAGAAGCTTCAAGGCCTTCTAACCTTATCAAAATGGAGCTTTTTGGGTAAAAGCTGGATCACTATACATTCACGCCTCCCTTATCAATGTGGTTATATTCTAAAGACCAGGACATTAAGTGAATTCAGCATTATGTGAAAATGGAAGATGACTATCATTAAATAACTGCCAAATTACATCATTTCATAAGTGCCAAACCACTGAGAATTATAGCCTAGCCAAGTTGACACATAACCTTAACCATCACAGCCAGCACTACTCTTGCCTCATGCATTTGTTAATGTGCAAAATAGTCAGATAGTAGATTTCTTATTGTGGTCATAAATGCGAAGTGTCAGATACTGAGATAGTCGATAAATGAAGAGCAGCTGTACTTTTTTGGAAAAGGGATGTCTTGTTTATTTTTAACTTTCTCTGTTAGAAAAAAATAAAGAAATAAAAAAGCCAGTTGGAGTCACATCATTTTAAATGGATACTTATTTAGTCAAAATTATTTGGATCCTTTAAACATAGAGTTCTTAACTGAACCTAAGAAAATGTAAAGGAAGAAATTCCAAACAACTGAAACATAGTAGAAGTTTGGAAATGTTATTTCAATATACTGCATTGGGTTTTTTACTTTTTGTTTATTTTTTATTTAGATTTGTTTGTGAGAAAACAGTGGAAGAGAAGATCCTACAGCTCCAAGACAAAAAGAAAGAATTGGCCAAACAGGTCCTATCGGGATCGGGAGAATCTGTCACCAAGCTCACTTTGGCTGACCTAAAAGTCCTTTTTGGCATCTAACTACCATTGATTTATATTAGGATCTGGGAATAACAACCTAACCAAGATCCTTGAGCTCTATTCTTGGCATTCTATTTCAATGTCAATCCTTCTCCCCTCCTCAGAAGGCCTAATCTTGCCCCCAGAATGAGGATCTGTCATCATGTTGATCAGCTGGTTATTTAGTAAGTAGCAGATTTAAAAAAAAAAAAAGCTTTAGAATTAATTGATTTTGGAAGACATTGTGCATAAACTTTAGTAAAAGTTCCAAAGACCCTGTGCTGGCCTTTCTCGTCTCAGTCAATAGGGAAGCAAGTGTCATCGCCTTTTCCAGCACAATCTCCGTTCCATCTCTTCAACTCTCCTTGCCAATGCAGCTACTATCTCTTATGGGTCAAGCAGTGAATGGATCCCTGCAGTCATTTCTCAACAACTTTGTTAAGCCAGGCATTCCTTCCTCTCAGTCTTAAGATCAGAGAGGTGCTATATACATATGCAGATGTTTGGTTTTTGTATCATTTAATATTTTATCCTCAGTATTTGCATCATTGTATTATACTTTCACCAATTTTACACTTTGTATGTGTTAATATCATTGTATTATTTAATATTTGTACCATTATACCATTTGCTGTTAGTGGCATTTAGTATCATCACATCCTCTAGTATTTGTGTTATCATTGGTACCATCTAATAAATGTGTGTTTAACAACATAGCAGAGACAGTGTTATGTGTTCACCAAATCCCTTTTCCTTTTCCTACTGGGCACCCACTGAGATTGCCTTTCCCAGTTTTCACTGTGTTTAGCTGAGGCCTTAGTTTTACTTAGTTTGTAGCCAGTGAAGTGTGAAGAAAAATGCTGTAAATTATTTCTAAACTGCCCTTTTAAACGTTCCAAGTGATTTTTCATTGACCTGCTGGATAGGGGAACCAGTGGAGGACTGCAAAGCCCTAGGGAATGGTAAAGCCACTAGATTAGGGATTCATAACTCCCCTCACCCCCTCTCCCACACACACCATGAGCCTTTTGGCAGTCTGGTAAAGCCTGGGTCCCTGAATGACTGGGTGGAACAAAGGCTTCCCCATGTGTGCCTCCTTCCTCATCCTGGCTCACTTATATTGAGTTATATCATGAGCCAGAAATAAACTTTATTATTAAACCTCTGAGGATTTAGGGGTTGTTTAGCAGTTAGCATAGTACCTTAATACTTGAGAGTTTTATACTTCTGGAAACTATTCTGGTTTCTTTCTTTCAATTAGCATCCTTTTCTAAAATGCTAACTGCTAATTTCTGCTAGAAAGGAAGTCTTGATTAGAATAAGTAAAAAAAGAAAATAAATAAGTAGTAGAACAGAATTCAAAGCAAAAAAAAAAAAAAAATAGACCAGACTTACTGGTTGGAAGAAGACTAGATGAACCCTTGAGACTACTGCCCTGAGAAAACCAAACTTGAAATTGTAGGCCACCTTCCAGCCAAATAATAGATGGAATTATAAAACAAACAACGTGAAGAATGTGCTCCTCAGAACAATCAACTATATGAGATCAAAAGGGCAACATTTTCCCAAAACCAAAGATAAGACTGGGAAACCAGATAAATGGACACAGAGAACGCAGGGAGGAAATAGGGAGAGTCACCAAAGCAAGTTGTGGAACAAGGTTTGTATGTGTTATTTGTGCCAATTGAGCCTGGTGTCCCCCAATACTGTGCTCCTGGGTAGGAAGGCCTAGTGTTTCTTTCTCCCAAGGTGTTTGGTTGTTTCTGAGGGATTACTCCAACTCTGTCTTCTATTGCTTCTGTAATGATTGTGGTTATTATATATCCTAGTATGTATGCAAGATTATCTTCAGCTAAATCTATCATTGGTCTAGGGTACAACTCTGTTTGCCGATCCCCATCTGATCTTCTCAGTTGTCTATGTGTTTATCTGTAGCCTGGTGTTTGGTGTTAGTGGTAATGCAGTATTGTGGATATATTAGTATGTGCCTCTGTTGTCTATATCTTTTGTGCACATTTCGGTGTCCTCCCTTTCCCCAGTGTTACTATGTTGATTACAGACTCTATACTGTCCCTTCCCTTACCCAAATCAGCATGTGGCTCCCAACTAGTCTGAAATTTTTGCTCCCCTTCCCTCCCATCCCCGGTAACCTACAAAGTGTGTTCCCTTCCCTAAGCAAACCCTTCCTTGACTTTTTACAATAATGGGCGCATATGTTATCTGTCCTTCTGCAGTTGACTTATTTAACTCAGCATAATGTCCTCCAGATTCATCAACATTGTGAGATGATTTCATGTATTCTTCATTATTCCTTAATGTAGCATAGTATTCCATTGTGTGAATGTACCATAATTTGGTTGCCCATTCATGTGTTGATGGGCATTTAAGTTGCTTCCATCTCTTTGCTATAGTGAATTGTGCTGCGATACACATAGGTGTGCATAGGTCTGATCGTGTCCTGTCTCTCACCTCTTCAGGATATATTCATAGTAATGGAATTGCTGGTTCAAATGGTATTTCTATTTTCAGTTTTTTAAGGAAATGCCATACTGTTTTCCACAATGGTTGTACCATTTTACAGTCCCACCAGCAATGTATGAGAGTTCAAATCTCTCCACAACCTTGCAAGCATTTGTTATTTTCTGTCTTGTTGAACTTTGCTATTATTGCTGGGGTGAGATGATATTTCATCATTGTTTTGATTTGCACCTCTCTAATGGCTAAGGTTGGGAGCATTTCTTCATGTGTTTATTGGCCACCAGTATATCATCTTTAGTGAAGTATCTGTTCATGTCACTTGCCCATTTTTGAATTGGATTGTTTGTCTTTTTGGCATTGATGTGTTGAAGTTTTCTATAAATTTTGGAGATGAGTCCTTTGTCAGATATGTCATAGGCAAATATTTTCTCCCAATCTATAGGTTCTCTTTTTACCGTCTTGGAGAAGTCTTTTGATGCACATAAGAATTTAATTTTTGAAAGGGATCATGGAGCTCGCACGGGATCAGGCAGTGTTTTGTTCTGCTGTGCATGGGGACGCTATGAGTCGTAAGTGACTCGACAGCACCTAACAACAACAACAGCAGAGAGAACAAATGTGTGGGCTATGGGTACGATGCGATCTTCCCACCCAAGGCTATAAATCTTTACGGAAGTGGACCATCACATCTTTATCCTGTGGAGTGGCTGATGGGCTCAAACTTGCAGCCAAGCACTTTAACCACTGTGCCACCAAGACTCATTGTGAGGTGCTATTGATGTTATATGGGTGCAGAAAAAGTTGAATCCACTGTCCTAATGGATGGAATGTATCAAACATGCGTTCCTAAACTATTCTAGTCCCAGGGTGGAATTTTCTCAATTTTGTGATTTAAATTGCATCTCCAAAATATGTAGGTCAACTTGGCTGGTCCATGATCCTCAATGGCTTGGCAGTCAAGTAATGATAAAATCATCTCCCGTGATGTGATCAGCCAATCAGCTGTAAGGGGGTTAGAATGGTATGCAACACCCTTACTTGTGTCACAGCCCTGATCCAATCAATGTAAGGGGAATTTCCCCAGAGTGTAGCTTGTATCACCTTTTATTTTATAAGAGATAAAAGATAGTAGCAAGTAGAGAAGGAGGGACTTGACTACCACCAAGAAAGAAGAGCTGGGAGCAGAGAGCATCCTTTGGATCCAGAGTCATGTGCTGAGAACCTCCGAGACCCAGGAGAAGATGGATGCCAAAATACATGGGGATGTCCAAGGAATGCTGGGCCTACCACAGATGTTGAAAGGAGGTAAGGGAGGTGGGGCAAGATGGCGGACTAGGCAGAAGGATTGCACAGACCCTCTTCAACAAAGAAAAGGGAAACCAATTAACACAGACACAGAAGATAAT